GACTAATCAAACAAATAAGGGGCAGCTGGACTGAGACACACTGGGGAACATAGAAACACAAGGAAAACCAAGGTGAAAACTGACAAATCATGACAAATCCTGATTCTAATTATCAGTTGAAGTTTTCTTAAAATGGATTTTTAAAATTGATCTTAAAGCTACCCAGGAAAACTGAAACTAAAATCTTCAGTTAAGCAGCATTATATAGTTTTATTAATTAGATAAAATTATTCCATTAGCAGATTTTATAATAATGAGAAGAGCTGAGGAGCCAGAGGACAGGAAGAGGCTCTGGTCGGATCTCTGTCAGGAACCGGTCCACTGGACCTGGTCATTAGAACATGTTGTACCTGATGATAAATACTTTAGAATTGTTATTAGTCAGAACTGGAGGAGACTTTAAAATAAGTTTGTGTTGAATTGTTCTTGTTAAAGACATAAATGAGAGAATTATTATAAAAGTTTCAATTTTCTGTTTCTATTCTTCAAACAATAAAGGTTTCATTTAAATTACAAACTGTAGTAAAATATGACTTCTGATATAGCTTAACGTTTTTTTCATTTACAGCATATTTAAATCATGTTTCAAGTGGTCTGGATCTCTTAACACCCTTAGTGCTAACAGAAGTTAAGAATGAAGTGTGCAGCTGTGGGTGGAGGTGAAGTGTAGAGTCAGAGACATGAGCGGCTGTAGAAGACATCATTCTGCAGGATTTACACATGCACTACATAACTAACAGGGTTTTGAAATATTAGATTTAACAAAAGTAATTGAACAAACAGAGGCTGCTGTTGAGCAGGGCAGCATCACCAGTGATGAACCTGAAGGAATAAAGCTGGAGTCAGGTTCATTTTCTCTTTATTTTAACAGAACGCCAGGCCACCGTATTAATGTCTTACTTTGTTGCAAACAGACTGTTTCTCAGTCATTCTCCCCAATAACTACACTGAACAGGCAGAGCAGCATCTTATAAAAAGTGCACTAGTGCCACTTAGTGGACAAGGCTGGTTATTGTATATGGGGTGCTGTTTGTAAACTTACACAGTTACAAAGTTACACAGTCTTGCACTTTCACAGTTAATAATAATAATTTTTATGGGTTCATGGCAGACCCGGACCGGCCCATAAATTAGCGTCGATGCCCAGTGGGCCACATGGCCAGTCCAGCCCTGAGCCTCATGGACAGAAACTGGAAGTTGGTTCCACAAGAGAGGAGCTTGATAACTGAAAGCTCTGCCTCCCATTCTACTT